AAGAAAACAAAATTGATAGAATAAAAGATTTATTAACTTATTTATTATAATTTTTCCCTCTCCTTGGCTGACAGTTTTTATGTCTGAAGGTCCAGGAAGCGCCGCACCAGCCTGGCAGACTGTAGCAAGACTTTAAGACTTTAACAAGACTTTAGTAACACAAATTCAAACATATAAACAATTGAAACTAGTGTCAGTTAAAAAGTCACTGTTAAGGTAAAAACAGGTGTCAGCTAAAACTCATTAAAGGAGGAGCTTGTTAGATTGTACTTTTTCATCATAGATCTTGAAACACCTAGCCGGTGCAGCTTGAACACATCATCAGTGAAGGAGCCAGGGTCATAGGGTATTTTGGGTCTCTGATCTTCAGACACCCTCGTCTGGGCGACCCAACTGGGGTTGATCAGGCCCCAGTTTGTGTTCAAGCAGCTCGCTACTCCATGCATCTCCCCTCTTGATCCACAGCCACCTAGAGGCTCTTTCAGCTGCCTCACTGATGTTTCTGGTGGCTCTTCTCTCAAGCAACCATCTGATGCCAACAAGCCTGAATGCCTGATGCACAGTCTGCCTGAGTAATCCTCTGCAGCCCACTTCTAATGGCTCACAGTGGGCACTCCATCCATGGCATCTGCATGCCTCAATCAGCTCAAGAAATTTTGCTTTCTTCCTTTCTAAGCCTCCTCCATCCTGTCTTCCAAGGGGACTGTAAGCTCCAGTAACACAACTTGCTTTGTCGAGTCAGATGTTAAGACCAGATCTGGCCTCAGTGACATCCTTGCAATGTGCTCTTATTTACACAATTGAAACATATAAACAATTGACGTAAAACAAGTGTCAGTTAAAATGACTATTAAGGTAAAAACAAGTGTCAGCTCAAAATCATCAACCTATCACTAAGGGAGAGCCCAGACACACTACGGAGAAAACTCTTTTCAGCCGCTTGTATCCGGGATCTCATTTTTTCGGTCATGACCCAAAGCTCATCACCATAGATGAGGGTAGGAACGTAGATCGACCGGTAAATCGAGAGCTTTGCTTTTTGACTCAGCTCTCTTCCCCACAAAAGACCGGTACAGCGCACGCTTCATAGCAGACGCCGCATCAATCCGCCTATCGATCTCCCGTTCCATCTTCCCCTCACTCGTGAACAAGACCCCAAGGTACTTAAACTCCTCCACTAGGGGCAGTACATCCTCCCCAACCTGGAGAAGGCACTCTACCCTTTTTCGAGCTCAGGATCATGGCCTCAGATTTGGAGGCACTGATCCTCATCCTGGTCAATTCACACTCTGCTGCAAACCGCTCCAGTGAAAGCTGTAGATCACGCCCTGATGAGGCCAACAGAACCACATCATCTGCGACTAACAGAGATGCATTCCTAAGGCCACCAAGACAGATCTCTTCAACACCTTGGCTGCGCCTAGAAATTCTGTCCATAAAAGTTATGAACAGAATCGGTGACAAAGGGACACCTTTGGCGGAGTCCAACCCTCACCAGAAACGAGTCCGATTTACTGCCAGCAATGCGGACCAGGGTCTGACACCGGTCATACAGAGACCTAACAGTCCCTTTCAAAGGGCCCGGTACTCCATACTCCCGGAGTACCCCCCACAGGACCCCTGGAGGGACACAGTGGAATGCCTTCTCCAGATCCACAAAACACATGTATACCCTCTAGAATCCTGCTGAGGGTGTAGAGCTGATCCAGTGCTCCATGGCCAGGACGAAAACCACACTGCTCCTCCTTAATCAGAGTTAAAAATAATTTATTTTGAAATTCCTGTTTTTAGGAAGATTTTAAAGAGTATATATTCTTGGCCGTAACAAACGGCAGCATAATGAGCGCTCAGTTGGTTAGCAGCAGCTATGTAACCTGCTCAGGTTGTTTTTCCTCCATTAACTGCTCAGCAGAGCTGAATTGATCACATCCAGCTAAGCAGTCAGCTGAAGTCAGATTGTCTAAAGTTTACAAACGTTTTGGCCTTGGAGAATATTTATCTGTTAGTATTATAAGGGGATGAATGTGTATTTTCATATTTAGACCTACGTGTGTGTTTTCCATGTATACAGCTTACCCTGCTAACGTTAGCTCATGCTAAGACCCTAATTTGTGCTAACATGCTAACTTCTCCCATTTTCTTCATTCATAGAGGCTCACTGAAATGTACTTATTTTATGCTTACTCATACTGTGATCTAAGTGAGTAAAGTTTGCCTTATTCCTGTATTCTTCAGTTTTACGGTAGTTATGGAATGAGGACTTCATTAAAGGACTAGAAACGTCAAGCCTTGTGGTTTTTGGAGGGCTTCTAGCTAACCGTTATCTGGCTGTCTAGCCTTGGCTTTTCAACCAAACGCCTGGTAAAAGGACCCAGTTTGGTCCCTTTTGGCTGGCCTTATTTCCCGCTACATTCATTCTCCCAGTTTAGATGTTCTTCATCCTCCTCCTCATCATCACATCCTTCCCTCTTCCAGCCCTACTGGAGAAGCTTGTTAGAAACCATCACATGTTTGACATCAGTAACCTTGGCTGAGTTAAAGGAGGGAACAAGGCTTCACTCTCTGCTGATCTCACTGCTCTGCAGCTTCTCATCTCCAATGTTGGACATGTCTGTGGGGCTGTGGAGAGAGGAGAAGTTAGGAACTGATGATTATTAGCAACATCTGACCTGTAGAAGATGTGAAATCATAGGCCAGTTCAGGCTCTGTCTCCTCCATCAGGTTCATGTTTCATTTAGTGATTTCATCAAGTCTAAAGTCATAAAATAAGTGACTGGAGTCTGACCTGAGTCAGACCTCTGAGCAGTTCATTCTTCTTTCTAGAATCACCAGTAGTGTCCTTCATCCAGCTCAGTCAGCCTCTTCATCAGTTGCTTCAGTTCCTTTGAGTCTCTGATGCTGCAGCTCCATCAGATGCTGCAGAGAAAACTGAACTTTCCTTCACAGACTGATAGAAGATCTGCAGCATCTGACTGCAGATTCTGCTGCTGCTAAAACCTTCAGTGTTGTTCTGTGAACATGAAGCCTGAGCTGTTTGAACCTGTTGCTCAGCTTCTCTGTTTGTCTCTGTGTTCACTGTGGTTCAATGGAGCTTCTAACCAAAGCAGAGACACAGCAGGTCTGCAGCTGAACCAGGACCTGAAGAGACTGAAGAGATTCTCTATATGTAAACACATACACTATATTGCCAAAAGTATTTGCTCACCCATCCAAATTATTGGAATCAGGTGTTCCAATCACTTCCATTGCCACAGGTGTATAAATTCAAGCACCTAGGCATGCAGACTGTTTTTACAAACATTTGTGAAAGAATGGGTCGCTCTCAGGAGCTCAGTGAATTCCAGCGTGGAACTGTGATAGGATGCCACCTGTGCAACAAATCCAGTCGTGAAATTTCCTCGCTCCTAAATATTCCACAGTCAACTGTCAGCTGTATTATAAGAAAATGGAAGTGTTTGGGAACGACAGCAACTCAGCCACGAAGTGGTAGGCCACGTAAACTGACGGAGCGGGGTCAGCGGATGCTGACGCGCATAGTGCGAAGAGGTCGCCAACTTTCTGCAGAGTCAATCACTACAGACCTCCAAACTTCATGTAGCTCAAGAACAGTGCGCAGAGAGCTTCATGGAATGGGTTTCCATGGTCGAGCAGCTGCATCCAAGCCATACATCACCAAGTGCAATGCAAAGCGTCGGATGCGGTGGTGTAAAGCACGCCGCCACTGGACTCTAGAGCAGTGGAGACGCGTTCTCTGGAGTGACGAATCGCGCTTCTCCATCTGGCAATCTGATGGACGGGTCTGGGTTTGGCGGTTGCCAGGAGAACGGTACTTGTCTGACTGCATTGTGCCAAGTGTAAAGTTTGGTGGAGGGGGGATTATGGTGTGGGGTTGTTTTTCAGGAGCTGGGCTTGGCCCCTTAGTTCCAGTGAAAGGAACTCTGAATGCTTCAGCATACCAAGACATTTTGGACAATTCCATGCTCCCAACTTTGTGGGAACAGTTTGGAGCTGGCCCCTTCCTCTTCCAACATGACTGTGCACCAGTGCACAAAGCAAGGTCCATAAAGACATGGATGACAGAGTCTGGTGTGGATGAACTTGACTGGCCTGCACAGAGTCCTGACCTCAACCCGATAGAACACCTTTGGGATGAATTAGAGCGGAGACTGAGAGCCAGGCCTTCTCGTCCAACATCAGTGTGCGACCTCACAAATGCGCTTCTGGAAGAATGGTCAAAAATTCCCATAAACACACTCCTAAACCTTGTGGACAGCCTTCCCAGAAGAGTTGAAGCTGTTCTAGCTGCAAAGGGTGGACCGACGTCATATTGAACCCTATGGATTAGGAACGGGATGTCACTTAAGCTCATATGTGAGTCAAGGCAGGTGAGCAAATACTTTTGGCAATATAGTGTATCATAACATGAAGATTAGGGGAAAATGTAAATCAGGATGTTTGTGGACTAAGATTTGAAATCATATTTTTAAAACAATAAGTACAGTAAAAACAGTAACTAAACTAAGATTCAATTTGAAATTAACTTTAATTCAGATAAGTTGAGTGATAACTGAGAGGAAAAGTTTGACACAACGAGAAAATAAAAATAAAAACACAACAGCTGAAACGTTCCTATTCCTTTTAGGCTCCAAATTTCTTGATCATTTTAATGATAAACCACAAAATATGAGACATTTTTTTAGCAGATGCATCATGTTGACAGGTCCGTTTTTAAACCCAGTTTAGTGAGTCAGTCAGTTAGAAACAACTCCTGTATCGGTCACATGACTTTCTGGAAACGACACGCGCACCGATACAGTGTTTAGCTCTATGGGCTCCACGCATGCACCGACGCATCGCTGTTGCTGGACCCATCACTAATGTGGAGAGCAGATGTTCATCAGATGATGACATCACTGTTTGCTCATCATGTTTTAGTCTGTGTTTATCATCCAGATTGTCTGATTTCATTAGAACTGACTTTATTTCTCCTCTAATCACAGACTTGGTGGCATTGTGCTCTCTGAGGCTGAATGTGAAGTTGTGGCCTCAGCTCTGAAGTCCAACCTTCATCTGACCGAAGTGGAAATAGAGAGGATCAGTGGATATAGATCCTTTGGAGACTCTGGAAAGAAGCATCTGTGTGAGATACTGGAGAGTTCAATCTGCAAAGTGAAGAAACTGAGGTGAGTTTTCTCTGTTTATTCAAACCAAATCATTCACTGATACTTTAATGCTGATTTTAATTCATCATTTTATTCTAATATATTTTCTATAAAAACAGCTGCTGTCCAAATGTCAGAATAACATTTCTCAGACTTTTTACCTTGTAAATGAATTATTTTCCTGTTCCAGATGTTCTAAATATTGAACTTTATTTTCCAGATTTCAAACTTTCAAATGTTTTGGACTGATGGACAAAAATGAGGAAAATCAGTCAAATGATGTTAAGTAATGATGGAGATGTTTCAATTTGATTTGGGAAAGATTCAAATGATCAGACAAGATAAGATGGCTTTATTTCTCATTTCTGATTCACATCTTTCCATCCAGAATGACATTTGGTTCCTCTAGAGTAGAACCAGAACGACAAACATGTTAGAATAACTAGAATAAAATAAGATGATCTAAAAACTAATGTTTAGGAAGAAAAGACAAAGGCATGAAATCTTTGTCCTGAAGCTGCTGTTCTGTTGGACCGGGTCAGAGAGAACCCGTCCTCTTCAATCTGTCAGCTGTCAGAGTCGCTTGGAGACACAAATACTTAGTTACTGAACTTAAGCAGCTTTTTATTTCTGACTTATTTACTTCTTATTTACTTCAGTATTTATTTTTCAGAATCCTTTTTCCTTTTCCTTCCTACATTTGAAGCCAAATATCTGGACTTTCTACTCCTTCCTTTCTCCAAACTGGCTCATTTCTTCTCTCCATATTGATAACGACATGACGTAAGAGCTGCAACAAAACAGGGAAAATCAGGAAGAGAATCTGTCCAGTTGGAGCCCAGTTAGTTTGTAGAAAAACACTGATAGAGACATGGATGAAGACAGGAGGCTGGAGACATTGATGGATCAGATTGTGAGACGCAGACATTCCCCGTCCATTCCCCTTTATTAGGGAGGAAATGTCCATGTTGATTCTGTTTGCAGCTTTAATGCTGTGAATAGCAGAGCTCTAAAAGGATTCAGCTGCTGATGAAGGACTTCTGTTCACTTCAATCTATATCATCCTGTCTGAAATTACAATGTACAAACCGGATTCCAAAAAAGTTGGGACACTAAACAAATTGTGAATAAAAACTGAATGCAATGATGTGAAGATGGCAAATATCCATATTTTATTTGTAATAGAACAAAGATGACAGCTCAAAAGTTTAATCTGAGTAAATGTAACATTTTCAAGGAAAAATATGTTGATTCAAAATTTCCCAGTGTCTACAGATCCCATAAAAGTTGGGACAAGTAGCAATAAGTGGCTGGGAAAAGGATATTGAGCAAATAAGGAACAGCTGGAAGACAAACTAACACTAATTAGGTCAATTGACAACAGGACTGGGTATAAAAAGAGCCTCTCAGAGTGTCAGTGTCTCTCTGAAGCCAAGATGGTAAGAGGATCACCTATTCCACCATTGCTGCGCAGAAAGATAGTGCAGCAATACCAGAATGGTGTTGCCCAGCGTAAAATAGCAAAGACTTTTAAGTTATCATCATCAACCGTGCATAACAACATCAAAAGATTCAGAGAATCTGGAACAATCGCTGTGCGTAAGGGTCAAGGCCGTAAAACTTTACTGGATGCTCGTGATCTCCGGGCCCTTAAACGTCACTGCACCTCAAACAGGAATGCTACTGTCAAGGAAATAACAGAATGGGCTCAGGAATACTTCCAGAAAGCATTGTCAGTGAACACAATCCGCCGTGCCTTCCGCCGTTGCCAGCTGAAACTCTACAGTGCAAAGAGGAAGCCATTTCTAAGCAAGCTCCACAAGCTCAGCCGTTTGCACTGGGCCAGGGATCATTTAAAATGGAGTGAGGCAAAATGGAAGACTGTTCTGTGGTCAGATGAGTCACGATTTGAAGTTCTTTATGGAACACAGGGACGCTGTGTCATCCGGACCAGAGAGGACAAGGATAACCCAAGCTGTTATCAACGCTCTGTTCAGAAACCTGCATCACTGATGGTATGGGGTTGCATGAGTGCTTGTGGCATGGGCAGCTTGCATGTCTGGAAAGGCACCATAAATGCAGAGACCTATGTTCAGGTTCTAGAACAACATATGCTTCCATCTAGACGTCATCTGTTTCAGGGAAGACCCTGCATTTTTCAACAAGATAATGCCAGACCACATTCTGCAGCAATCACTACGTCATGGCTACGTAGGAGAAGGATCCGGGTCCTGAAATGGCCAGCCTGCAGTCCAGATCTTTCATCTATAGAGAACATTTGGCGCATCATAAAGAGGAAGGTGCAACAAAGAAGGCCCAAGACGATTGAACACTTAGAGGCCTGTATTAGACATGAATGGGAGAGCATTCCTATTTCTAAACTTGAGAAACTGGTCTCCTCTGTCCCCAGACGTCTGTTGAGTGTTGTTAGAAGAAGGGGGGATGCCACACAGTGGGAAAAATGGCCTTGTCCCAACTTTTTTGGAATTTGTTGACGCCATGAAATTTGGAAATAACATATTCTTCCCTTAAAATGATACATTCTCTCAGTTTCAACTTTTGATCTGTGATTTGTGTTCTATTCTGAATAAAATATTTGTTTTTGACACCTCCACATAATTGCATTCAGTTTTTATTCACAATTTGTTTAGTGTCCCAACTTTTTTGGAATCCGGTTTGTAGAACCAAACTAGACCCAGTCAGGATTTTTATGTTCTCTCTACCAACACAGAGAGAAAAGGAGCAAAATTAAACTGTTTTCTCAGCAGAGAAATTATTTAGAAGAATAAAGTTTTTAGACGTTTTTTTTTCATGCAAAAACTTCATTTTAATTTAGTTTTATCTAATTTTTTTCAGTAAATGAGTTCAATCAGTCTTTTCTTACACAGATATCTGTGCTTTTACTTCTGACAGTTTTGTTCCCGTAGTTTCTAGCGACTCCTCTGGGCTTTATCTCCATCTCAGTATGGTAGCAGCTGCGTACCGGTGTTATACTATATTCAGTGACCCTGGCCAAAGAGAGAATGTGTTCAGTGATGCTGTATGATTGGGCCAGCACAGTGTCAGTGAGGAAAATAACCAATGGTCCTTGGACTAGTGTTTATCACGTGCCGGGGTCACATATTCTGCTGGAATGTTTTAATGGAAAGTTTTAATCTGCATCCTGTTGAATTTAGCTAAAATCTTTGATACTTTATTCAGATTGGATCACTTCAGTCTCATGGATATCAGCTTGGCTTCTCTGGTCTCAGCTCTGGAGTCTAATCCATCCCATCTGACAGAACTGGACCTGAGAGGAACCAAGCTGGACCCTGGAATGAAGGAGCTCAATGGGTTTCTCCAGTCTCCCCTCTGCAAACTACAGACATTGAGGTCAGATGTAGTATATTTGTTTATTCTAATAACATTACAGTGCAAATCTCAGTGTGAAGGTCAATCAGCGAGCTAGTAAAGGATCAATAGGCTGATGATTAGAAGAGCAGGTTACGACTCTCAGAAGGAGGACAGACATGTTTAGAAAATAAAGGCCTCAGTTTGTCTGAAACTCCCCAACATACGGAGTGACTACTGGTCTGGGTCTGGGTTTGGGTTCTGCTGGAGTCCTGTTTGGGTTTCTATCTGCTTTGAGGAAAGCCCAGTTAGGAGAACCACATTGCTCTAGGGCCCGTCTGGTTTGTGATTTCTCCTTCTCTCTGCTGAAGTCAGCAGGTCTTTATTGGAGCAGCAGCATGTTGGCATTAATATCAATGAGAGCTCTTTAACTGGTTCTGTTGGACTGTTCTAACCTGCATCCTGTTGGATCAGCTCACATCTTTCTATTCTTTATCCAGGTTGATTGACTGTGGTTTGACAAAGATCAGCTGCTCTGATCTGGTCTCAGCTCTGAAGCCAAACCCCTCACATCTGGAACACCTGGACCTGATGTGGAACAACCTGAAGGAGTCAGATGTTCAGCAGCTGCAGGATCTTGTTGAGAGTCCAGACTACAAACTGGAGACTCTGTAAGTAGATGGTTGGAGTGAGTCCAGCTGCTCCACAGCTGCTCTGAACAGGACTGAAGTCCCTGCTGCTCTTTATCCTGGATGTGCTGCATCACTGACTGACAGCTGGTGGAGAGAGAGAGGCTGGAAACACTCATTGATCTCCTCTGTTCATCCTTCTTCTCTCTGCAGGGAGTGGGAATCATGGTGATCTTAGTAGAGGAGAGAAGCTGATCTGTGTCCTGATGATCCGCAGAGGTTGAAGCTGCAGCAGTTTGAGTTTAAAGAGACTCTGACTGGATCCTGATGATGAACTCTGAGTTTAGAGATTTTTCTCCTCTTTCTTTGATCCTGTCTGTCATTTAGTGTCTCATATTGTTTTTCTCTTTGGAACAATGGAGATGAATTTCAAACTAAGCTCCATTTAGTGGCTCCATGGAGGTTTGATCTGAATCTGATCAAACTGTAAAGTTGATCTTTTTTCTCTCTGATTCATTTTCAGCCTGTAACCCAGAAATCTGAAATAAAGCTCAATTCTAAAGTTTTCAGGCTGCATGTTTGCTTCATTGTGATGCAGTTTTTGGATGTTTTTGATTCTATTCCAGATGTGTTCTGCAGATGTTTGGGCAGCTCTGCTCATCTGATCTGTTGCTGCAAACAGCTCAGTGAGGTCCCACTACAACAGTTAGACCCAGAAAGGGAACAATCGTTCTGCTGACTAATGGCAGCTGAGATAAGAAGGATGGTCAGAGCCAGAGAAGGGTGCAGGTGGAGAAGGCAGGCACATCAACAGTTACTTATCATAAACTGGAGGAAATGTGATTGTGTTCTATTTTATTGTAAGTCATAGATGGGAAAGTTTTTCTTCTTTTTGTTTTTCTTGGTTTAATAAAAAGCCTTTTGTCATCGTTTGTCTTGTAGTATTTTCTGATGAATTTGGTCCCACACTTTGCTGAATAACTCAAAACGCATCCAAATTTTAAGTCTGTGCAGAACGTACAATGAGTGAGGGGCGATGGAGGCCGGAGAAGGCTGGACCTGTTTGAATCTATTACTGAACTCTTCCAGCCTCTTTATTTTCACGGTCTCAGCTGCTGAAATCAAACACACCCTATATTAAGTGATTCATTTAATGAGGAACACCTGAGGCTCTAGTGAGGTTTAAACAAAGCTTCTCTGGTTAAAACAAAGAGCCCACATTGTAAAAAAAAAAAAAAAAAAAAAAAAAGAGAAAGCCACTTTCACAGATCGTATTTTTCTGGCAGGTTTTAATTGAAGCAAAACACAGAGACACGCTACGAAGTCTAGTTCCCGGGTGAAGATTCCTTATTATCATTTTTTTGGGTCTGATCTCCTGAATCTAGACTGGATTCATTTGACTGATGCTAATTTTTCTGTAAATAATAAGGTGATCAGACTTTGTTTGTATTGGTTCCTTTGTTTCCATTGATGGGAAGATATAAACAGATCATCTAACATGGATAACTCTCAGTTTTCTTGTCTCTGTAGGTTGATCAGGAGCAGTCAGACCCATAGTACCTGGCTCTGGGGTCTTATTTCTAGGTATCTGAGTTTTTAAAAGGATTTTTACTACCCTGTATCCCACAATAGTTTGGTATCTAAGTCAATATGGATTAAACATATCACTGTTTGACAACTTTTTCACCTTGTAGTGAGCTTTGAGCAGCTTTAACATGAGGCGTACTAATCACTCTTACCTATAAGAGTTTCCTCTCTGCTCAGAAACATTTATTTCCAAATTAAGGAAAGGTTCAAATTGCAAATGAAGATCTTTTTTTTTGTCCTGAAAGACTTTCTCAGGTTGATTAGTAAAAGTGTTGACTGGTTCTCTCTGCTCTTCATTAAAGGACAGCAGCCTCGTTTAATGACACTTGATGAAGCTGTTGCACCGGTTTTAAAATCCTGTGTGTCTAATTCTTATTAAATGTTTTGATGATTTAATTTATTAAAAACTTTCTTTAACAAAGTCTGTCAATTATGGTTATCTGTTCAATTATTTTATCTTTTTGTTATTTGTCTTTTACAAAGTTTAGCGATAAGAGAAACCTGAAGATCCTCGTCAATTAGTCCATCGTTTATGGCTGTGGCCACCAGGGGGCGCATTACACTGGAGCTAATGATGGAGTCTGGAAGGAGAAGATGAGGATGATGATGATTAGAGATTATATAGATGTTCAGGTTGAACTAGATCCGAATCTAAACACCAGAACTTTGTCTAACTGATGGAAAGTTAATGAAGTCAGTGATCATCTGATGGAGAAATGGAGTCACTGGATGTTTTATTAGAGCGGACCGCCTAAAAAACCCAACGAACAATTAATTATTTTTAACTTTCCCTTAAGAACAGCAACAGTAATTCATTTAAAATATATATTTTTTTGTTGTTTCTTCCAAACAGTTTTATGTCCTGTTTCATTTAACATTTTAAAGCTTTCAGGGAGTCTTTCACTGTTTGTTTTGTTTTATATTAAATTAGGCCTAAATGGCATTTAGTTTTTAAAGCACAAATTGTTCATTCTTCCTATATATCTTTAGTTTACAGTTATGTTAGTAATAAAATGCACAAATAATACTCAAATTATATGGATCCATCAAATCTAGACTGAATTAATTTGAGTAATGCTCATTATTATGTGTATAATTAAGGTAATTAGACATTTTTTAATTGGTTTTTACATTTTATATTTACATTTCCACATTTTTTTACTTGTGGTCACCACCACACCTCATTGCCCTGCAGGTTTCCTTGCTGTGCTGTAGTCGTAGCGCCCCGGTCAGATAGTTCTTTCTGTTCCCATTAAAAGCCACAGTGAACCTTATTTCTGCTGGAACTGAAGCCGCTCCTCCATAGACGGCTCCTGGGGGCCGATACCTCACGTTACAGCTTTGAAATATTGATCAGAGCCTCAGGTTGCATCCTCAGCTGGTTGCTGTGGAGAAAATTAGTGCAAAACTTTCTTGTTTATATGAATATAAGTTGCTGGAATAAAGTATTGGCATTTTTACAGAAGATTTAAAGATGGTTTATTTATAAATGGTGGTGAGAGGCAAACCCAGTGCACCTATGCTGAGTCCAACAGGATCTAGAAGTACATCGCTGTTGATCTAATGTATTGATGAACCAATCAGTGAGGCCACCTCAGAGTTAGCATTAAAAAAACTGACTGCTTCCTTCAAAGGCTTCATTTGTTGACTGATTGCATCACATCTCTGTGCCGAAGACTTTCCCAATCCCAATCTGGCTAACAAATGTTTCTTTCTCTTCATAATCTAAATGATTAATCTGGACTATTCTTCATGGCCCAACATTCCCCATCATTCGGAGTGAGTCAAAGCGGATTGGTCAAGCTTTGAAAGTATTGAGGGATGATGCCAAAAATGGTTAATAAAAGTTTAAATAAAACCCAAAATAACCTTTGAAGACGTTTTCAGGCAGTCAGATGGTCGATGATTGGACCCAAAACGGAACAATAATCCCAGACACATCAGCAGAGGAATGAATGAAGGAGATGGGGGGGCCTAGTCAAAGTAAAGATCTCTACCTCATCAGAATGCTCTGTGTTGGACGTTGAGATGAACACTGACAAACCAATAAACTTCTTTGGACATAAAGATGAGATGGATAGATCTGCTATGAGAACAAGTCAAAGCGTGGAGGTTCCAGTGGTGGAAACAACCAGACCTGGACCTGAAGCTCCTAAGATCAAAACCTTGTTGGATTTTGGTGTTTGTCAAAGCATTGGCTTGTCAAGTTATATAGAAACATATATGATAAATGCACCCGGAGAAAAAGAACAAAGAAGTTTGGCATGGATGATAAAGCATTGACTCTAAAACTAGAAGCTCATGGGTTCAAATCCCACAGAAATTGATGTTATCTTTTTCCAACAACTGCAGAAGAAGAAACAAAAAGATAAATGCGCCCGGAGAAAAGTCCAAAGTGTGACAGGTGTCATAGCAGAGTGGGATTGTCTGTGACTGTAAGGTGCCAGTGGTGCAGAGTCTGAGTTCAATTCCATCTGTGGTTGATGTAGCCTGGAACTACCCACTGTGGTGGGTCAGGGAGGGGGCTGTGTCCCCTCCCTGACTTCCACAGCAACAACTGGAGAAGGTTATACATCAGGAAACAAGGTCTGACTGGAAATTTTAATGACAGTCAGAAAAATACTAAAGTTTGTTTCTAAAAAACTAGTCTTTTTTTAACAAAACTTGAAAATGACCACTTGCATTATACTACAACATTACTTATTAACAGATGTAACCCATCTTTATTACATAGATGCATATACAACAATCAAGTGTTATACTTTTGACAACTTGAGTACAAATAAAACAATACTGAAAGAAATCTTAATTAATTTAACTAATTATTGGTCTCAGGTGGCTTCCATAAGTAATGTTCTTAGATGGGTTACATCTGTTAATAAGTAATGTTGTAGTATAATGCAAGTGGTCATTTTCAAGTTTTGTTAAGAAAACTACTGTTAGTGTTTTAGAAACATAACTTTAGTATTTTTCTGACTGTCATTCACATTTCCAGTCAGACCTTGTTTCCTGATGTATAACCTCCTCCAGTTGTTGCTGTGGTGGGTCAGGGAGGGGACACAGCCCCCTCCCTGACCCACCACAGTGGGTAGTTCCAGGCTACATCAACCGCAGATGGAATTGAACTCAGACTCTGCACCACTGGCACCTTACAGTCACAGACAATCCCACTCTGCTATGACACCTGTCACACTTTGGACTTTTCTCCGGGCGCATTTATCTTTTTGTTTCTTCTTCTACAGTTGTTGGAAAATGATGATAGTTTCCTCTGAGGGATCTGAACCCATGAGCTTCCAGCTTGAGAGTCAATGCTTTAACAAGCATGCCATACACCACATTCACTGTCACAGTTTAACCTCTTCTTGTAGCTGATTTATCTTTTTGCTTTAAATTTTCACCTTAAAAATCACATAGTATGTATCAGGATTCTAAGTTTTTTAATATTCCATTCTCTGAGACTTCAAAGTAGAACCAGGAGTTGAACTCAGGATGCATTAAACTCTAAGCCAGCATCTCTTCTCTCTGAGCTACCAAGGCAGATGAACCACCTTCCTCTTAAAAGCTCTGACATACTTTAGATTAGAAACCCAGAATTGCATAAAATTCTTGATTTATACAATTCTGTGATAAATGTTTTCCAGGCACTTTTATTTTTTTTGTTTTCACTTTTACAGTCGCTGAAAAAAAGACAATATATATTTCTGTTGCTTCTAATTTGAAAGCCAATCATAATGACACTTCAGCCTGTTCTCTTAGCAGATCTAACCTCTCAGTTTCTATATTAACCTTGATAATAATGGAGGCTAAAATCCAAAAAGTATCAGCAGGATTTGATCCTATAACATGGAAATATCTGCTAATAGGTCAATTTATGATCAATTAAAACATTTATCTTCAGCTGGTGAAAAAAACAACTAAAAGACATTTAGAAATAATTAATAAATATCTGAGGGAGGAGCAGCAGCATAAATACACATGAA